GGCTTCCAGCCGTGCCAGCGCGCCCCCGCTGACTTCGCCATCAAGCTGCGAGATGGCGCGGGTTCCGTGGACGCTGCTCCTCTAGTGCGCCAGTGAGGCGCGTGTTACTGCTTGCTTGCATGCATTCATTTGCCCCTGTCGCGTGCCTTGGCGCCCCCTCGCACCCTCGCTTCCTCCCTTCCTTGTCCTTTTCCTCCTCCTCACACCCTCGCTTCCTCCATTCCTTGTCCTTTTCCCCCTCTCCCCTCTCCCCTACCCTCCTCCCCTTCCAGGCATCACCGTGTACAGCCCTCTGCGTGCGCACATCACCCGCCCCGGCATGAAAGTGGGCGTCATCGGCATTGGCGGGCTGGGCCATCTCGCTTTACAGATCGCGCGGGCCATGGGGGCACACGTGACTGCCTTCTCCACCTCGCCTAGCAAGGAGGAGGAGGCCAAGAGAATGGGCGCGCAGCAGTTTGTGGTGTATGACGCCCAGGCTGCGCCAGGAAAGGGACATCCGGAGGTGCCCAAGAGCACGCACGTGGATGTGCTGGTGAACTGCGCGCCTGTGCTGCCTCCTCAAGGCGATTACAGGAACTTCATGAGCCTCCTGAGGCCCGATGGCACGTGAGTCAAGGCTTGGGTAGGGGTTGGGTTGGTAGGGCTGGGATAGGGGAATGGGGCAGCCTTCCCCGCATTAGCGAGGAGCATGGGCGCACAGCAGTTTGTGGTGTATGATCCGAACGCTGCGCCTGGAAAGGGGCATCCCGAAGTGCCCAAGAGCGCGCATGTGGCTGTGCTGGTGAACTGCGCTCCCGTGCTGCCGCCCTATGGGGATTATCTCAACTTCATGAGCTTGCTAAACCCGGATGGCACGTGATTGTAGGCAAGGGTAGGAGTGGGGTAGGGGTACGGTAATGGGCCGGCCTTCTCTGCATGGGCGCGCAGCAGTCCGTGGTGTATGACACGCATGCTGCCCAAGAGCGCACATGTGGATGTTTTGGTGAACTGTGCGCGCCTGTGCTACTGCAACAAAGATTAACGCAACTGTGCTGATTTTCCTCATCCCTCTTTCCCCTGTCCCTCCTCACCCGTTCCCTCCTGCCCCCCCCTTCCTGCTCTACTCTCTCCCCTGTACCCTTTTCCCCTTGCCCATTCCCCCTTCCCCCTTCTCAGACTTGTCCTTACCGGGATTCCACCAGATGCTGTCGGGCAGGTGGGCCTGCTGGATCTGATTTTCGGGCAGAAAAAACTTGCAGGATCGGTGGTGGGCGGGCGGATGCTGTTGAAAGAAATGTTTGACTTCTGCGCTGCTAACAGCATCAAGCCCGTGACTGTGGTGAGTGTGACTGTGGCGAGTGTGACTGTGGTGAGTGTGACTATGACGAGTGTGAGTGTGGCTAATGTTATTGTGGTGTTCAAGGGTGTGGGGGGGAGAGTGTTGGTGGGTGTGAGTAGCATTGTTCGTGTGAACAGAGCTACTTGTGCAGGTATGGTGATTTTTGTGCACATCACAACCTGGTTACCACCCTGCCATAACCTGGTTACCACCCTCTCACCTCCCTTCACAACCCTCTCACCTCCCTTCACAGCCCTCTCACCTCCCTTCACAACCCTCTCACCTCCCTTCACAACCCTCTCAACTCCCTTCACAACCCTCTCACCTCCCTTAACCACCCTGTATCACTTACAGACGCGCCCGCTGTTGCAGCTGAACGAGGCTATGGATGAGGTGGAAGCTATTCCTCGCTCACAAACTCACCATCCCTCCCATCATTGCCTCTCACCTACCTTTCATTTCTCTCACTCTCCCCTCCCTCTTACCACTTGTTACAGATGCGTCCACTGTCGCAGCTGAACGAGGCAATGGACGACGTTTTGGCCAACAAGGTCCGCTACCGTGTTGTGCTGCTGACCGATGCTGAGTAGATTTGGGTGTGTGTGGATATATATGGACCGTTGCGGCTCACTTGAATAGATACAGATGGGTGGATGGATATTTGGATGGATTAAGTGGACTCCAAAAAGGTCCGCTTCCGTATTGTGCTGCTCAATGATGCTGAGTAAACACAGATAGGTGGATGGCTACACTGTGTGAGAGGGTGCGTGAGTGGGTGGGTGGGTGGGAGGATACTCTCACCGCCTGGATAGTATGTGTCATATCTTATACTGCTCTGAAAAATGTACGGCCACCCTGTAACAGAAGTTTATGGGTGTTTTAATAAACCTTTTTTTGTAAAAGTTATTTGTAAAAGTTATTTGTACCATGTCGGTGATTGAATGTGTAGGCAATCTAGGTGTGTTATGCATGTGACGGCATCATTAAATTCATGTAAGTTTTACATAAATTTTTGCTTTCTAGCAGAAATTTATTGAATCAGGTGAAATAAGGATGAAAAGGAAATATGATTTGTTTTAAATACCAGCGCATCTTCCCGTCATGATGTTGTTAAATACAAAATTGTACTCAGTCACCTTTTTGACAGTGTTGAGTTCTGCAAAATTCCAAGCCCTAAATTATCGCAGAACATGCATAACGGCGATGCCCGTTTTTGCTACGGGTTTCGGGTTCTGCAGGGACCCACACGAGCCCACGCTCGCTCTGCCGTACCTCCCCCTCCTCCCCTCCACCGTTCCAAAGTGGCCCTTCTCTCACAGTCGTTTCTGTCCCAACAGATCAAAGTAGCTTGTGCTTGGCTTGAGGACCAGTAGAAAGCTTGTGCTTGCAGGTTGCGTTGGTGAGCCACCTCTCCAGCGTCTATCGTGACTTTTGTGTGCTTTGTTTCGACATTCTGCTCGGTTTGCGCATGAACTTTCCTCACAGGCATGTTTGCCTTTTCGTTTCAGTGCATATTGACTGGATTTCGCTTGCGTGAGTGATGATCAACAAAGATTATGATAGGAAGACCAGAAGTGCTTGCTTTCAGCTGGCGCTTATGCTGTTATTTCGATCCAGCTGACACGCATTGCATTGGAATCCTGCCAAAGTAATAAGCCGTCACTGCATTCGTTCCCGCTCATTCTTTACGCCAACCCAGTTCATTTCGTTTCAGTTTTTGCTTCGTCCATCTGTGACGGACGCTCTCAGTCCTTTTCTTCCTGCGCGTGACGATCCCGTAGGGACATCGGAGCTCTCACAAGGAGCACTGACCGATCCAATACACGGAATTAATGGGAATCTCTCTGATGCAGCAACTTTTTTCTGATTTTCCTCTCTTAGCTAGCAATTTCTGCAGGTTTCTAATTTATCAGATTTTAAGAGTCCTCGTCAGAATGAACTTGACGTCTTGGCTTGTGTCCATTTTGCGCATCTGGGCATTGTTTCCCGCCTCTGTCTGTCACACCCACTTTCCTGCACGTGATGATGCCGTAGGGACATCGGAACTCCTAAGGGAGTAGTGACCGATCCAAAATACGGAATTAATGGGAATCTCTCTGATGCAGGAACGCACATATACTCGGTTCTCCCCACCTTACGCTGATGTGTTGTGTTGAACCGTTTCTCAACCTTCCCCTCTACCCTTTCTCCTTATACCAGTCTTAGGAAGTCAAAGCATGCGTTCTCCTTTGATGTGGGTTTCCCTTATCACCCTTTCCCTCTACCCTTTCTCCTTCCAACATACCAGTTTCAACCAAAATCTCAGCCTACTGTAGCACGTAGAGTGGCTGAATGGATACATATACTGCACAGAAACATTGAGCGCAATAAAACCTTTAGGAATCATGTTTGTAATGTAAAGGAAAGCAACCATTAGCACGATTCTGTGGTCAAGCTAGCTAGCTGGTCACGGAGTCTCTTCAAACAAAAAATAAGATGCACAAATCAACCTACGCATTCTCAACTACATATATACGCCACATGTGCTCACCTAACACAGTAACACCACAGCACGTTTCTCCTGGCAGAACAGCACTACTTTGTTGGCTCTGTGGTGGCTCGCTTCGCTATCCATGCCAGTCCCCATGCGTTGAGCTGGTTGCATTGCACAGTGATGAGCCTGCTAACCTAGTCGAGAAGTAGAAATCAATTGGCGCCGCGCACAGCTTAGCAGACTCAGTTTCAGAGGAATTCGGTCAGCCTGGGTCGCGAAGAAGCGTGGGCGATTCGACGAGAACCATGTGATTCAACAACCGTGACTATACGAGCTGTGACTAAACGAGCCCATGGAAAAACGAGCCGACTAGCCGAGCCGTGACTGTAAATGCTCCAGATATCAGCAATAGACCGCGCATGTTTCAACCTTTAGACAAGGTGACGATTGCTGCAGAGGCGCACACTCACCGATGCTCGCAGCAGAGCAAGCAGGTCTAGCAGCAACTGCGCGTCGCCAGCAATCGACACTCACCGATGCTCGCAGCAGCTGCGCGTCGCCATCTGCCGCTCTAGTAGGAGCCGTGACTGTAGGAGAGCCGAGATTGTAGGGGCGGCGAGTGCAAAAGCCGCCTTGATTGTCCCACCCTGCAATGGACCGCACATTGAAGGGTTTGGATAAGCTGCCGATTGCTGCCGAGGCGAACAGCTACTGACTTTTAAGCCAACCCCCATCTGTCTATTCGCTGAAGTCATCTTGAGTCTCTCACCCAGCGACGGAGCGCGCATTACAGGGTTTGGGTAAGCTGACGATCGCTGCCGAGGCGAACACCCACTGACTTTTGAGTCAACGCCGGTCAACGTTATTGTACACTCGCTAGTCAACGCGATTGCATCTCACCCAGCGATGGACCGCGCATTGAAGGGGTTGGATAAGCTGACAATCGCAGCAGAGGCGCACACCCGCCGGTGGTCCCAGCAGTTGCTTCCGGACCTTCTCGCCCTGCTCTCCTCGGCCTCTGCCATTCTTGATAGACTCCCTGTAAGCTGTTCCGATATAATGTATTCTCCTATCATGCATCACTGTAAGCAGCTGCTCCCTCTTGCCACGTCTTTTCTCCCTCTTTGATTACTATCTTCGGTATAGGCATACTCAGTAACTTCACTGTGGTAGTCAGTCCATATGCTATGCTACCCTTTCAGCTGTCTAGTTTTTCCATAACCTCCCTCTGCTCCCTCTCCTCCCTCTGCCCTGCTCCTCCTCCCTCTGCTCCCTCTGCTCCCTCTGCTCCCTCTCCTCCCTCTGCCCTGCTCCTCCTCCCTCTGCTCCCTCTCCACCCTCTCTGCCCTGCTCCTCCTCCCTCTGCTCCCTCTCCTCCCTCTGCCCTGCTCCTCCTCCCTCTGCTCCCTCTGCTCCCTCTGCTCCCTCTCCACCCTCTCTGCCTCGCTCCCTCTGCTTCCTCTCCCTCTTCTCCATTTTCTCTGCTCCCTCAGCTGCCCTGCTGCTACCATCTCTGTCCCCGTGGTGCCATGTGTGAACGAGGCATGCTCTTCATGTGTGACAGGAAGAGCAGATCATCGACCCATGCTTCACATCTCCCCTTTCTCCTCCGCTCCCTCGCCTCCCTCCTCGCCCTGCCCCCTCTGCTCCCTCTCCTCCCCGCCCTGCCCCCTCTGCGTCCTCTCCTCCTTTACCCTGCTCCCCACCACCCCCCCGCCCTGCTGCGACCATCTCTGTCCCCGTGGTGCCATGTGTGACGGGAAGGGCAGATCATCGACCCATGCTTCCTATCTCCACAGCCACTCATTCTCCCCGTGTTTCCCAACATCCACTCATCCCTTTGCTCCCTTTTCTCCTCTGATTCCTCTGCTCCCTGCACCCTCTGCCTCCTCTGCTCCCTCTACTGCCCTCTCTGCTGCTTCCGCTCTCTCTGCTCCTTCACATCTCCCCCCTCCGCTCCTGCTACTCCACGCATATGACTCACCCTACCACCTACCTCCATCCATACCAGCCCCTGTCCCTCTCCTTGCTCTGTTCCCACTCACACGTCTCTACAGGTCTCCCCATACACACCATCCGCTTTCCCTCCCCCCTTCTCCTCCCGTTCGCTTCTCTTGGATTGCAGGTGCTTCTCAATTTATCCCCTCCTCCATCTCTTCTCCAACATCCCCATACATAACCTCTCCTCCCGCTCCTCACTTTCGCTTCAGTTGGATAGCAGGTGCTTCTTAATTTAACCAGCTACGGAACGGAGTGTTGCAACTGTCCGGCAACCCTCCTCCATCTCTTCTCCAGCATCCCCAAAAACTCTCCCCTGCTCCCCTCTCTCCTCCCTTTCGCTTCCGTTGGGTGCTTCTCAATCCATCCAACTACGGAGTGTTGCAGCTAGCTCCTCCCATGCTACCCTCCTCCATCTCTTATCCAGCATCCCCATACATAACCTCTCCTCCTGCTCCCCTCTCTCCTCCCTTTCGCTTCCAGGTGCTTCTCAGTCCGACAAACTACGGAGTGTTGCAGCTGGTCCCTCCCATGGAACCCTCCTCCTCCATCCCTCCTCCACTTCTACACCTCCCCCCGCCCATACCACCCCTCTCCGCTGCCTCTGCTGCCTCTGATGCCTCCGCTCCTTCTGATGCCCCTGTTGATGCACCTCTTGCAACCACCGGCGCAACTGCCGCCACCACTGCCGCTACCACCATCAGCAGCAGCGGCACTGCCACCAGCAGCACCATCAGCAGCAGCGGCACTGCCACCAGCAGCAGTACTAGTAGCAGGAAGTCAGAGGAGCATGCGAGGGGGATGGCCTCAGCAGTGACAGCGATACAGGTGGAGTCTTTGGAACGGATCCTGCGCTCTGCTTCTGACACTCTGTGAGTGTGAGTGCTGGGAACGAGGTGAATGGGCTGCTTTTTAGTCGACTCCAACCAAGGTCAGCATAGGAACAGGCTGAAGCAGTGGCAGTTAGGCAGGCAGGTGGAGGCTTCTGAACAATTTCTGCGCTCCGCCGGTGACTTTCTGTGAGTGCGAGTGGTGAGACACTCTGTTGGTGCTGGGAACGAGGTGAATGGGGATGGGGCGACGTGCTGAAGATGGTGAACATGCCGAAGGAGTGGTAGCTAGTTTTTGAGTCGACTCAAAAGCATGCCTGAAGATAGTGAGGCAGGTGTGGTCTTTGGACGGATCCTCGGTCGGTTTGCTGCTGACACCCTGTAAGTGGGTGTGGTGAGCCATGCGAGTGTGAGTGGTGAGAATGAGGCAAATGAGGCAGTATGTAAACACGTTGCCACATTGTTTGCTGGCCAGCGGATATTTGAGTCGACTCGACAATGGGAGAGAAGCGATTGCTTGAACCAGGAAAGCGTGGCAGCGAGGCAAGTGGGGTTTCTGGAATGGATCCTTCGTTTTGCCTGGGACACTCTGATTGGTTGGTGGGAAATGGCGAGAATGTAGGATCGTGGGAACACACATTGAAGCAGTGGCATGGCAGCACGGCAAGTGGAGTTTTTGGTTGTTGCGTAATGACTCACTCAGCTTGTGAGTGAACGAATGCGTTGCTGCTTGGTTCCTATTGTTAGTGTTAGCCCTCAATCTCACACTTTGTACTTTGTATTTTCTATATCTTAGAGTAGTGTAGTTTGCACTTTGTGTTTGGTTGGGTGTACACCTACATCCCAACCAAACCCAAATGTAATCTCCAAGCAATCTCCAACCCACCAATTGGAGATTGCCTTGGGATTACTCCCAATCCCTAGGGATTGCCCCCGATTCCCTTCCCCATCCATTCCCTACCCTTCTTGGATGTACTTAAAGAGCTTCAAGCTCATTACTAATGCATCGCTTCTAAGCCTAAGTTCTGACATGGTATCAGAGCTCTTCAACCGCACACGCGGATCATGATCCTCTTAACTTTGCGGATGATCGTCCCACAAACCTCGGCGTAGCCACCTTCAATCTCGTCGCCAGTGATTCGCGACATTCGTGGGCGGAAATTCTCCCGCACCATATTCCCGTCACTTTCGACGACATCTTCCATTTTCACTGCTTCTCGTTGGGCCGCCGCCTGTCGCCCCGCAGCTTCTCGTCGGGCCGCCGCCCGTCGCCCCGTAGCTTCTCGTCGGGCCGTCGCCCGTCGCCCTGCAGCGTCACCTTCGAGCTGCTGCCCGTCGCTCCGCATCTGCACTCCTACCCCCATCCCCCCTTCCCGCAGCTGGACAGGTGCAGCAGCGCAGCCGAGCAGCAGCGTAGCCGCGAAGCTGAGGGTGGTGTGTGGGGGGGTGTGTGGGAATAGGATTAGCAGGTAGTTGACACTAAATTGGCGTTTCCATCAAATTCTCCTTCAGAAACCCTAAACCTCAAAATTCTCTTTCGTAAACCCTAAACCTTGGGTTCTTCAAAATCTCCTTTGGAAACCCCAAACCTCAAGTTCCTATCGGTGACTTAAGAGCGGCGCTCCGCGCGAGACACTAAGAGCTCCTCATCATGGCATTTGCCTCATCCACCATGGCCAACCCCATCGCTCCACTCCGCCTTGAAGCCGATGGCTCTAGCTCCAACTTCAAGGCATGGAGCTATGGAGTTGACAAGCACCTCTTGAGTCGTGACGTGCAAAGATTGGACCTCAAGGACGTCCTCCTCAATCGTGGCAAGGGAAAACAGCCCCCAACCCCCCGTGAGCCGACCGAATCCGCTAGTGGTATTGACATGAGGGTGTACGAGGAAGCTGTTGGAAAGTACCGGAAATGGGAGAAGGCCGATGCTGCTATCATCAGCGTCTTCATTGCCTCCACCCCTCCCGAACTTGTCAACACGTTCCACAACTACCCTACCTACAACGCCATCTGGAAGTACCTCCAGGATCGGTTCATGAACAAAACGGTGGTCGGAGTTGCCATCCTCATCCCCAGCATGTTCCAGGTCCGCCTTGAGGATTGCTCGGAAATGGCTGACTACATCGCCAAGGTGCAAACTATTCATGGCGAACTTAAGGAGCTGAGTATAGTATTCCCCGAACAAGCCCCTGCAGCCGCCCTTATAGTTGGTCTCACCTCGGCATATGAAGTAACGAGGAAGATGCTCCTCACGCTCTCAGCGGAAGACCTCACCTTTGCTAAGGTCTCCACCGCACTCCTCTCTGCCGAGAAAGACTCCACGGCTCAGGCCAAGGCTTACGCCATCCGCGCTCCCATGTTGCAAGCAAGTGTCGCATCGGCCCTCGCCTCGACGCCTTTCCAGGGCAACCGCTTCCCTCCGTGCACCTACGTCGTCAAGTATGGCAACCGCAAGGGAAAAGTGTGTGGCGGCACTAACCACCCCCTTGCGACGTGCTTCAAGAAGAAGGACGACGAATGGTATGCCATTCACGGAGTGGGCAAGAAGCCGCCAAATTGAATGCGCCCTCGTAAGGCCAACCTAGTTGAGGTCCAGGACCCCGCTTCGGCTAGTGCTAGTGATAGTGCTCCTGCTGATGTGCGTATCAACCTGTTGTTCCCTAGCACTGCCATGATTAATGAAGCTACCTACCAGTACATCGGCTCATCACAGGCACCACAATACATAGAGTTCACACTCGACAGCGGGGCCACCCACACTGTGCTCAAGGAGACACTCTCCTTCAAACCCTACGCAACACCCATTCCTCTCTTGGGAGCTGACTCAAGCTTCACCACCCTTGCCAAGGGTACATCTACAGTCCCGTGCCCCGCCTTCCCATCTGGCACTGTCACTGGCATGTGCGTGCCTTCACTACGCCACAATCTAGTGGTCAAACAGAAATTCAGGATGCAGGACTACGCACCATCTTCTCGGAGAACGAGGACCATTGCGACATCATCGATCCACTCACCAACAAAATCTTGGCCCGCTTCACCCTCAATAGCAGCGGCCTCTACACGCTACGCGTACCTCTCCCGCAGGTGTCAACCACCCAAGCACAGGCTACTGTCACACCATGCTCATGTCGCAGCCTCTCCGACCCGACCATCCTTTACCACCATCGGCTCGGGCATCCGAACTTCCGCACACTTGCTGACATGGCCTCCAAGAAACTCCTTCTCGGCCTGCCAGCAGCGCTTCCTCCACCACCTGACTCACCCGCTCCCACGTGCCTGGATTGCACCAAGAGCAAACTGCGCCAACAGCCCCATCCTGCCTCACCCACAGTCGCACCAGCATCTTTGGACCTCGTGCACATGGACGTCTGGGGCCCTTCCCCTATCCCAGCACGAGGTGGCCATCGCTACTTCCTTGCTATCGTGGATGATCACTCATGCTACGTCTCTGTTCACCTCCTCCACACCAAGGCTGAGGCCCCGGAGGTCATCATGGCATGGGTCAAGCAGGCACAGACCGCCTTCGACCGCAAGGTCAAGCGCCTTCACTCGGATGGGGGGGGTGAATTTTGCAACGACAAGCTCAAAGCCTTTTGCTCCTCAGAAGGCATCCAACAAAACTTCACCCTTCCCGACAGCCCGCAGCAAAACGGCATAGCAGAGAGCCGCAACCACACCCTGGTGCAGATCACTCGGTGCCTCCTCAGCCATTCTAACGCTCCACTCTCTCTCTGGGGGTACGCCCTCTACCATGCCGCCCTCCTCTATAATCTTTACCCCCACCCTCATTTTCCCGACACCACTCCAACCACACTTTGGCTCGGGAAAACACCCACTGCTCGCTCTCTTCGCGTCTGGGGATGCACCGCCTATGTGCTCCTCAACCGTCAGGCCCGGCGACAGCGCGGTGGCAAGCTCGGTCCCAAGACTCAAACGTGCATCTACCTTGGGCACAACGCCGACTCCCCTGACTATCTCTCCCTCAACCCCTCCACTCAACAGTTAGTCCGGAGCCGCGATGTTGTCCTTGATGAGATCCGCCCATTTTACTCCACCTCGGGACCGGATCTTCCTTCCGATCCACCCTCTCTTGTGTGAGCGGACTTTGATGCGCATCCTGACCTCCCACCTGCGCCGGTCCCCTCACCTCCTCCCTCTCCTGCCGTCGCACCTTCCCCCTCAGAGATCTCTGACCCGACCTCGCCGGTGTCTTCGGCAGCTGCTCCTCCATCCCCCTCACCTCCCACTCCGCCGACTGTGCAGCCACCTCCGAGCGCACCTATCACCTACCATCGGCGGTCACACCCTCCGGCCCCACATCCTCCCCCAGTTCCCCCTACCACAGAGGAACCCGCTCTCCCACAGTCGCCCGAGCTGATCACGTACCACCGGCGGCCCATTCCCCCGCCCAAGCCTCCTAAGTCAACCCCTCCGACACCGCTTGCCCCACCCTCTTCTCCGATGGCTCATGGCACTCGTTCGCATGGCGCTGCTCTTCCACTGGTACTGATTCTTCGATGCACAGCGATCACACCGCCTCCTCCTGCTGGGGGGGATATGCCCTCTACCCTTCTGGAAGACAGACATGAGGAGCTGTGTGATCTTCATGCAGTCATTCCTCAGCTCTCGCACATCTTCCCCGACATCACTGAATCACCCTCACTCAACTTCGCGGAGAACCTGACCATCCCTATCCCTCTCACCGTCCAAGAGGCTCTCTCATGTCCCCATGCAGCCGAATGGCGTGCTGCCATGGAAGCAGAGATTGAAGCGTTCACCTGCAACCATTCCTTCGATGATGAGACTCCACCTCCAGAAGTCAACATCGTCGGAGGCAAGTGGTTGTTTCGTGTGAAACAGCTCCCAGACGAGGCCTCGGTGTTCAAAGCGCGTTACGTAGCCAAGGGTTTCACCCAGCAGCAGTACCACGACTTCTTCAAGACTTTCTCCTCCACAACTAAACCTCCCACTATTCGCACGCTCATGGATGTCGCAGCACGAGAAGACTTTGAGATCAAATCCATGGATGCCTCATCAGTTTTCCTACAAGGACGCCTCAAGGAGACAGTGTTCATGGACAGACCTGAAGGCTTCCCAGGAGAATTCCCTCCCAACACTGTCTAGAAGCTGAATCGCCCCGTTTACGGCCTTAAGCAAGCCCCTCGCGAATGGCACAACAATGTGAAAGACGTCCTTCTCTCCCTGGACTTCCACCCCTCGTCTGCTGACCCGACTCTCTTCATTCGCCGTCACTCTGAGCCATTCTACATCCTTGTCTACGTCGATGACTTCATCCTCGTTGCCAATGACTCGGCCCAGATGACCTCTGTCCAGGCGGCCCTGAGGAAGGCCCTCCAGATGAAAGACCTCGGTGATTTCAAGCACTACCTGGGGATGGAGATCACACGTGATCGCAAGGCTCGCACCATTTCCCTCTCCTAGGAGTTCTACATCAACAATGTGCTCAAGCGGTTTGCGATGGAGCTGTGCACACCTGTTGCCACACCGCTGCCACTGCAACACCTCCTCACGGCCCCAGCTGTACCCACACCAGAGGCCTGCTCTGAGCCATACCCGGAGCTTGTTGGGTCCCTCATGTACGCCATGATGTGCACCCGGCCTGACTTGACATATCCTGTCAGTGTCCTCTCTCGCTACGTGGCCCCTGGGCGCTTCACTGATCTTCACTGGAAGGGCAGCGAAGCGGGTACTGCGTTATCTCCAGGGCACCAAGTCTCACGTTCTCACACTCGGTGGGCTCTCCCCTCCTCGGCTAGAAGGTTACACCGACTCCTCTTGGGCCGATGACCAGACCGACCGACGCTCCTCTCAAGGGTATTGCTTCACCCTTGGGAGCGGAATTGTCAGTTGGCGCTCCACCAGGTTGTCAGCAGTCTCCCTCTCCTCCTGTGAGGCAGAGCTCTACGCTGGCACCATGGCTGCTCAAGAGGCCCGGTGGCTCACCTTCCTACTCCAGGAGCTTGGCTACCCTCAGCCCACCCCCACCCTCTGGTGTGACAACCAGAGTACTATCCACATCTCCCAAGACCCTGTGTATCACACTCGCACCAAGCACATCGAACTTCGGCATTTCTTCATCCGTGACCTTGTCCAGCGGGAGCAGCTGAACGTGGAGTACGTTGCATCTGACTGCAACCTGGCTGATCTGTTCACGAAGCCCCTTGGGAAAGTTCCTCACCACCGTCTCCTTGGCGCCATGGGGCTCTGTGCTCCACCTTCTCTGCCCTGAGTTCGATTGACGCCTATGGGGGGGTATTAGTGTTAGCCCTCAATCTCACACTTTGTATTTTTTATATTTTCTATATCCTAGAGTAGTGTAGTTTGCACTTTATGAGTGGTTGGGTGTACACCTACATCCCAACCAAACCCAAATGTAATCTCCAAGCAATCTCCAACCCACCAATTGGAGATTGCCTTGGGATTACCCCCAATCCCTGGGGATTGCCCCCGATTCCCTTCCCCATCCATTCCCTACCCTTCTTGGATGTACTTAAAGAGCTTCAAGCTCATTACTAATGCATCGCTTCTAAGCCTAAGTTCTGACACCTACCACTCCAATCTTGCTGCACACATCGTTTGTTGACTCTACCATTTTCAGGTTCCCACCATACCGGTGCTAAACTGGTGGTGGTTGCACCCCCCCACAACCCCATCCAAGGGTTTTTTTATTTTGTCAAAAGAAAGCGACTTTCCAAAGACCAATTTCCTCGCAACATCTCTCAACACCTCTAGCCTTTGCAACCCCCGAAACCCCCCCAAACATCTCTCAACACCTCTAGCCTTTCCAAACATCTCTCAACACCTCTAGCCTTTCCAAACATCTCTCAACACCTCTAGCCTTTCCAAACATCTCTCAATACCTCTAGCCTTTGCAACCCCCCAAACCCCTCCATTCTCCCCATCCCTCCCATCCTCCCAAACCTGTCTCATTCTCCAGTGTTTCCATCTTCCGCAGCATCCCATTTTCCATTTCCCAACCACCTATCCCCAATCCCATTGTCTGTCTTCATCCCGTTTATCTGATTCTTAGGTCCCCACGTTTTCCTTACCACAACTTTCCTTTTCTCTCATTCTTTTTATGCCACTTGTCTTTCCCTGATTGGCTGCTCACCAGCAAGGATATGGCCAAGGTGGCAGCAGCGCTGCAGAAGCTGACAAGGGACGCCGACCGGGCTTTAGCGGCGCTACAGCCAAGGCCCACAGAGGACGAGAGGAGCCGCCGACGGGGGCTGCATGCCAGCCTGGCAGAGACGTGTGGCGGGCTGCGATTGGTCGCTGATTCCTACTGCAATGAGTAAGCAGTTCCCTTTTGCCGGCCTCAAAAGTGGCTTTTGTCTACCATTCTGGCCATCTTTGGATTGGAATCCCATAGACGCTGAAAGAAGTGCAAAGCCTGTTGCAAAGCTGCAGAATTCTGCAGGGGTATTTCTGACTCTATTTTCTGCTCCTGTGTACCCCACCCATAGGTTTTCTTCGAAGCATGATGAATCATGAAACATCCCCACTTCTTCCTCCCTCTGTGATCCTGTATACCCCATCCATAGGCTTCGTTTGAAACAACAGCTGGTTGCCGGCATCACATGCAACACACCGTAAGCCATATCTGTTCTTACAGGCATGGTTGTGGCCATACACATGGTAAGGCGCATGTGTGCAACACCAGCAGCAGCTGGTTGCCGCCATCACATACAACACACCGTAAGCCAAATCTATGATTGCAGACTTCCCTCACTTGCGACATGCATGCAGTGTGTCTAGACTGCCCTAGAAGGATTCTACACCTTACATGCATACAACACATCACAAGCCACTTGTGTGCCTGGTCTTGATACAGCAACACATGGTCGCTGTGTGCTGGCATCAGTCTACTTGCCAACTATACATCACTGCCAACTCCCACCACGGCAAACCCCTCTTATTGCAAAGCTTTTGGAAGATTGTCACCGGTTTGCCTTTCACGTGACCACTTCTCTCATTTGCCCCTCCTATTTTTTTCCGACTTCCCACTCCGTCCACCACTCTCCAAACCACCTATCACTCTTGAGTCGACTCAAAAGTCACCTCACCAACCCACCTATCACTCTACCTTTTTCTCACCCCGATCCAAACCACCCTCTGGCCAGTCAGTGGCCTCTGGTGATCTCTCCTCTTCCCTGTCCTCTCATGCCATGCCATGGCCCATCAATGGATATCCACGCCATCCCACTCATCCCATGCCATGCTCGCCCATATTACCAGCTCGAGTGACATTGCAGCTATCCTTGCAGTCTTAGAAGATGAGCCTTGCATCGACTCTTCACAAGGTGCGTTGGCTGTACTATTTTTGGTCTTAAAAAAACAAGCACGTTGTACAGACCTTATTTCTGTTCTTTCACAAGTTGACCACTCTTTTTCCAACCGTCCGAGTGACACGGCTGCCATCCTCTCAGCCTTGGAAGATGGGCCTTGCGTCGACTCTCCACAAGGTGGGCTCGTTAGTGTAGCAAAACGCATCTGCATTGTACCGAGTATATATGTGTGCACTATCATAAGCCCCACTTCTCTCCAACAGCCCGAATGACATGGTGGCCATCCTTGCAGTCTTGCATTGACTCTCTACAAGGTGGATCCATTGCCATACTCGTTAAAAAACATCCCATTTCCGAAGTTATTATAAGTTACTTCAGTCTTTCCATCAGTCCGACTGACATGGCTGCTATCTTTGCAGTCTTGGGGTAGCTAAGAAGCGCCGTCGTATGTAAAACTACAGGGTTTAGGGACAGGCGTGGGGATCAGAATTGGGAACCTAAATTTCTTCCCATGCCCTTTCGATGCTTATGTTGCTTCATGCAGTGGAGAAGTTTTTTGCCCTCATGCGAGCTACAGCTACAGGAGCTTGAGTGCCATGTTTGGGCAGGTTATGGAACTTGAGAGCCTTATTAGGGCAGAATACAGAGCTTGGTGCTATATCAGGGCAGATTATGGAGCTTGAGAGCTGTATCAGGGCAGAAGTGCAATATCATGGCAGATTACGGAGCTTGAGTGCTGTACCAAGTGCCATTCCAGGGCGAATGTGTTGAACCAAATGCAGAGGTGTTGCTGATGAAATCAGGTCAATTACGACACCAGGCACATTCCAGATAGACATTAGCAATGAATCAAACCTTTGTGTGATGTGATTCGACCTGAAACGGTTTGGTTAGCAAAATTTGACGCGCTGGTTGGATGGGGACGATTTAGCTCATTCTCGAATCGCATTCCAGTGTGTATCACCTAGTGACAAACGGGAACTAAGAAATTTCATTGAAACCATTAAACCGAAAATATATTCACTTCGTATTTGAGATCAAGATAATTTGAGTCATTTCTACAATAGTTTGAATTTTTATTGATAAATGATTAGAGTTTCGTTACAGGGTGTCAACAATAACGAGACTTCCAGATTTTGTTGCGACGAATCAGATGAGGGCAGCCACTCAGTTCGCTCACAAGCAGGTGACTTGTTCCTGGCGATGGCGATAATTGTCCTCCACCGCCCATAGCCTTATTCCGAGCCTGCGTGGTTTGCTTACTGACACATAGGCCGTGAAACGCGCTTTGTCAGACCTGCAAAGGATGTGTGAGGAGGAGCAAAACAGATCCCCCCAGTGGAGCTGCCATGCCAAGAAGGAATGCGGGGGCGGATAAGGGTGCGTCAGATCCGTTGTCGGAAAAATCTGGCCGGCCGGAATTAGCGAAGGTAACACATTCACGACATCCGCAAAGATTTTCGAAGAGTTCGCCAAATCCAGCCATTTGTAAAAAAATTGATGGCCGGTTCAGCATTCGACAAAGTTCCGACGTGCAGTCGACTCGAAAGTCGACCAATTTGTCGACCTGAGATCGCTACAGTCACTACGCGACGTCGCCAACTCGTGCGACGCAACGTGTCACACAAGTACTGCATCTGCGATTCCGTCGCACAATCCGGCGACCCAGGCAAACTGCAAATCTGATACATTTGCAAAGCGGCCATCAAATCGGCCACCAAATGTGTCAGATTTTTCGGCCCTGTAAATGTGGCCGGATATTGGTCGTTATTGAAGTCGACCATGTTGTCGACTTTGGCGAAAGATATAGTCGACCAAATTGTCGACCGAATTCCGGCCAAATCACCTTGTAACAGATCTGACGCGCCCTAAGGATGGCTCAGCCGGCTGGCTGGCGCTTCTTCAAGTAGTTTCTACGCCGCGAAGGAATCCCAAAAGAATTTCGGAGAGGCATTTTTTTTCTTCTCAAAAGTTAGCGTACAAAAGGGATCTCACCTCGCGTCTGTTAGTAAGCATGGCATCATCAAGACGATACACCCAGTTTGAATATGGAAGATTCGCCCAAAAAAATCAGCACGTGACATGCCACTCACACTTCAGGAGCCCTCTGGAACGGTAGAACGACGCTGGAACGGCTTCCGAAGCAAAACTCTGTTTCGGAGTCTGCAGCCCGGGTCTCGTTACTAGAACCGCACACAGGAAGCACAAATGGGTCGCCCGTTCAGAGAAGTTCTACAAAGCACGCTCGGCCTGGAGTTTGAGGTTCGGTTCGGACGATGATCGAGGGAATCTCGTGAGGATCCGTGCGTGCACCACCCCTCTCCGAACAAAGTCCGTCTGACACAGCTGCTCTCAGGCCTAAGCTCGTCCTTGGAGCAGAGGCACAAGCACATGTCAGCCCTGCTTCCGTCCGCCCTTGTCCAGGCCGCCGCTGCGTAGACTATCTCACAGTGGCATACAAGTTGAGTCTCGTTTCCCTCCACTTCCCTTGCTAGATGCGTGTCACGTTACCGCGGGATTGATTCCAGACCGCGCCGACGCCTCAATGCCGCCGCCTAAGCCAATTACGATGCAGCCGCGAGCATCATGGCTTGCACTCTCCGCCACGATTTGGCTTTCTGCATTCGTCTCTTGCCATGCGCAACCGCCCGTGACTAACGCTACTCAAGGTGCCTCCCTCTCTCCTTCGCACAATGCTAATAGCGATCAGTGTCGCTTCTCGACATCTCTCGTACCTCGTTCCTGTCGAGCACGTAATAACAATCAGCCGGTTGCACTGCCACAATGCAACTCACTACTACAAGTATGTCAAACATTATATATGTTCTGCTTGTGTAGGCTACAGTGGGTTAGCCTATAGGGGGTACACAATTCTAGGGTTTCCTACTTGTACTCATTTCACTGCTAGTTCATTCACTTTTCCTGTTCGCTGATTTTCACATGGTATCGAGCAGGTTCCCCTGTGGGAACTGTTCGTAGGGCCCACCACCGCTACCTCTTAACTTTTTTTTTCCTGCCCGGAGCGCGCTCCGGGCCCTAGTACTTCTTTTTTTTCGATCTGCCCTAGTGCTCTGAAGGCCGCCCGCCCTAGCGCCCGAGCGCCGCCGCCCTTGCGCCCTGACGGCCGCCCGCCCTAGTGCCCTGACGGCCGCCCGCCCTAGCGCCCTGACGGCCGCCCGCCCTAGCGCCCGAGCGCCGCCCGCCCTAGCGCCCGAGCGCCGCCCGCCCTAGCGCCCGTGCGCCGCTCGCCCTAGCGCCCTGACGGCCGCCCGCCCTAGCGCCCTGACGGCCGCTCGCCCTAGCGCCCGAGCGCCGCCCGCCCTAGCGCCCGAGCGCCGCCCGCCCTAGCGCCCGTGCGCCGCTCGCCCTAGCGCCCTGACGGCCGCCCGCCCTAGCGCCCTGTCGGCCGCCCGCCCTAGCACCCGAGCGCCGCCCGCCCTAGCGCCCGAGCGCAGCTCGCCCTAGCGCCCGAGCGCCGCCCGCCCTTGCGCCCTGACGGCCGCCCGCCCTGACGCCTGAGCGCCGCCCGCCCTAGCGCCCTGACGGCCGCCCGCCCTGACGCCTGAGCGCCGCCCGCCCTAGCGCTCTGACGACCGCCCGACCTGACGTCTGAGCGCCGCCCGTCGTCGCCCCAGCGCCCTAGCGCCCGACGCCCGCGAGCCGCCCGTCGCAGCAGCCCGTGAGCTGCCTGTACGCCGCCCGCCGAGCCGCCCGTGCACCCGCCCAGCGTGAGCCGCCCACGACCGCCCAGGCTGCCGTCCCCTTCTACCGGCCCCGCAACTGCACATACTGGCCCCGCCGACGGCTTTGTCGCGGCCCCGCCCAGGCCCTTACGCGGCCCCGCCGCCTGCTCTCACGCGGCCCCGCCCCGGCTCCTTCGCGGCCCCGCCGCCTGCTCTCGCGCGGCCTCGCCCCGGCTTCTACGCGGCCCCGCCCCGGCTTTCACGCGGCCCCGCCGACGGCTCTGTCGCGGCCCCGCCCAGGCCCTTACGCGGCCCCGCCGCCTGCCCCCGTCGCGGCCCCACCCAGTCGCGGCCCCGCCCCATCCCGGCCCAGCCGCCCCATCGCGGCCCGGTCGCCTCCTGACGGCCCCGCCGTCCCTTCGTGACGGCCCCGCCGTCCCTTCCTGACGGCCCCGCCGTCCCCTCCTGACGGCTCCTGCCGTCCCCTTCTACCGGCCCCGCAACTGCACCTCCTGGCCCCGCCGCTGCACCTACCGGCCCCCACCACCCCCCCCCCTTTTCCCGTCGCCTGTCGAGGCGACCTGAGGGGGCCGCTTGCGGAGGGGTGGCAGGTGTGTGGCCTCCCCTGCTTCTCCTCCTCCTTCATCGCTCACCTGCAGCAGCCGAGCCGCCCCACCGCCGAGCCGCCCTGCACCCGAGCCGCCCAGCAGCCGAGCCGCCCTGCCGCCGAGCCGCCGGGTCGCTGAGCTGCTGAGCTGCAGTTGCTGCCGAGCCGCCCTGCCGCCGAGCCGCCGAGTCACCGAGCTGCTGAGCTGCAGTTGCTGCCGAGCCGCCTTGCCGCCGAGCCGCCCGAGTCGCCCGAGCCGCCGAGCCGCCGAGCTGCCGAGCCGCTGAGTCGCCGAGCCTACTCTTCCCACCACTGGTGAGCTCTTGCCCTGCTAGCACGCTGCGCGTCGCCTGCTTGCCTGCCTGCCTGCCTTTTGGCTTGCCTGGCTGCCTGCCTTCCTGCTGCTAGTCCTGCTCCTGCTTCTACTTGCGGAGCCAGATGCAGCCCCAGCGACGCCTGCGTGAGTCCCTCACGCCCCAGCAGCTGCGTGAGTGGTACGCTGGTTGGGGCTGTAGGGGTGGCGACGCTACTCCTACTTCCACTCCTGCTGCTTCTACTCGTGGTGGCGGCCAGATGCAGCTCCCGCGACCCTCTCGCGTGTCTCTCACGCCTCGCCAGCTTCGTGAGTGGTACGCTCAGAGTGGAGGGTCTCTCAGTGCTGTTCGCTGCTCTTACGTGATTCGCACTGGTACTCGGACTGGTCAGCCTTGTGGGACACGTAGTCA